GAAATACCCAAAGAAAACTAAAAGTAAAAATAAAAGAAAAGAAAAACTGCACACTAAAACCCCACAATGAACACACCAACCAACCAATCAAGAACCACCCAACAAACAATGAGCACACCAACCAACCAATTAGGAAACACCAAAACCAGATCAAAATCTCAAGGAACTAAGTCCACAAAAAAAATACTTTTATCCTCTGTCTCTTTCACATTTGTTGACTTTCGAGTAAACAACTTATCATTACGAGTATACTAAATAGTCCACATCATCGCATGCCAAACAATAATAAACCTACCTCTAGTTTTAATTTTAGACCATAAAAAAAGAAAATACTCAAAACAAACCTAGGATCGTTGGGAATAGATAAATGCACTCCTAACCACCTAAAAATTATATATCAGACACTCGAAATCAAACTACAAGTAACAAATAAATGGGAGACAAACTATATAAATTTCCCCACAAATAGTGTATGAAGTACCCTCATAATCAACAAGGACCCTCAGCTTGAATAGGTTTTCCTTCTGATAAAATCTATTTAGCATAAACTGTTAAGAAAAACCACTACCTTTAAGGAGGCTCAACTCTCCTAGATCTTTGGAAGAGCTGAGAACAAGTTATCTACACTCTCCTCGAAAATAAGGCCACAGCCAGATTGGACTTGATAAGCAGAAGCCGCAATGAAGAAGTCATCCCTATCATGCCTCCAAACCCACTTATATATTACTCTCCTCATTAAACTGAAACACTTGGAGAGTCAAGAAAAACTCAACAACTAAAGATTCTTCATGAGCAAAGAATAATGACCTCGATCTAAGGTCCCAAATGATCCACCCCTAGTCACTTCTCTATATCTTAGCTATAGTTCATATTGAATTTGGGAGATAGAGAAGAGTCTATGAAATTTAGTCTTGAGGGGGACATTTCCTCCTCACAGGAATCTCCTTTGTATCCTAACCAACTTCTTATACACTTTCAGTGATATCTTAAGAAAAGAGAGGTAGAAAACCGAAATCGCGTTAAGTGCTTAATTAAGAAAAATAACTCTAACCCCTAAGTTAACATACCTATGAGACGAATAATTAAGTCTCTTTCAAATCAAATTTAAAAAAGGCTCCTAAGTGGATTCCAACCTAGGGTTAGCTCTTACTAGAAACCCTAGGTACCAAAACGTAATAGATTATATCTTATAGTGTCGAAAACTCTCGATAAGATGTTGGGAGAAAAGGCCAACATTGATCCCAATCAGATCGCTCTTGTGAAAAATAATCCTTATAGACAAAGCAATCTCAAAACCTCCCATAATAGCTTTGATAGTCCATAAAATCTCGATCGACGGTTCAACTAAGATTAAGGTATCATCATTACACTGAAGATGGGTGGCCTCTAAATTTGAAGGATCAACTTTAAAACTAGAAAAGAGGTTAATATCATTAACATGTTGAATCAACTCACTTAAACCTTAGGCCACAAGGAGGAAGAGGAAATGAGTTAAGGGGTCTCCCTGCTTCAACCCTATTTTAATCTTGATTTTAGAAATAGGAGAGTCGTTAACCAGCAAACCAAATTACTAGAGAAGACACAAACATTGATTCAGGATCTCAACTTGTTACTAAAGCCAAATATGATGAGCATGTAGTCCAAAAATATCCAGCCCACTGAATCATACATTTTCTCAAAGTCAACTTTAAAAACAAGACATTCTTTCTTGGATCTCTTAGTCAAGTCAATCACCCCCATTAAGGGCCACTACTCCATCAACCAACATTCTCCCTTTAAGGAAGGAAGGCTAGTTAGGGATAATCAATTTGTTCATCATCTGTCTTAGCCTCTGCGCCAGAACTTTAGCTACCAATTTATAAAACAATCTTACTAAGGAGATAGGTGGAAAATAACCTACAAACATAGGGTTCTTAATGTTAGGGATGAAAGCCACACAAAAAAGTATAAATTGTGGGGAATATAAGCAAATTGATGAAACTGATGAAACGTAATCCCTGCATCTAAACTCAAAAGATTCCAAAACCTTTGAGTAAAATAAAATTTAAAACCATCAGGCCTCAGTCTCTTATTCCTGCCACATTACGCCACCACCCCATCAAACTCCTCAGGACTGAAGGGAGAAGTGAGGGACAAATTGTCCTCTATGAAGATAAACCTAAAGTTCACCCCATCAAGTATAGGGTAAGCAACACCTGGTTCTTTAAACCAGTATGAAAAATACAAACCAATCTCATGCCGAATTTTAGCTACACCCTCAATCTAAACCACTCATTTATTAAGTGCTATAATATAATTCCTTATATTCCTACACTTAACCGATGCATAAAAGAATCCTGAATTAATATTCCCTTTCTTTGTCCATCTAGCCTTAGCTCTTTGGGACAATTAGGAATCCTTCACCCTAAGAAAAGGCCAGAGATCTACAATAGCCTTAGACCTGGTCTCCACTTCCTTATCAGATAGGGGATTGATGTCGTCCATCATATCAAGGTTGGCCACTTCCTTAAAAGGTAGGGTTTGACCTTATTAAGCACTTTCTCAACATAATGTGTTTTACTAAGTTCATAACCCCCACTATTTCGCTTTACTTTGATCCGCAAAAGTGTGTCAACTACTCCAAGATCATTCATCTTAAATGTTGAAGTTAGAATCCTCTTTGTTTCTAAAATTCCATTTATTTTGTTGCTAATGATCAATCATATAATCAACTTGGAGACAAATGAATATCACAATATTCTCACACAATTTTGTGTACAAACACTTTTAACAAGAATCAGATGAATAATATTTTTAGATAATCATGCTAGATGATGCAAGAAGGTTTTAGATGAAGTGAAAGAAGGAATTATGAACAATTTAAAATAGTATAGTATAAATTACAATGGACACCTTATTTATGTTCACTTGTCTCAAATCTTCATTTGAATTTATATGCTAAACCTTCTTGATCAACTTCATCATTGACGTGCATGACGCTTTTAAACCTTTTCTCCTTTGATAATATTTGTCTTCATCAAAATTTGAACAGGATTTATAATATTGATACATCACGTGTTCTGTCTTGAATTCCTCTCAATAATGCTTGAAAGTGAAGTCTTTATAACCATTATTTGTAATATTTTTAAGTTTGTTAGAAAATTAATATAAACCGAATGGATCGAGGCTAGAATCGTGAACGAAATCACTTTCATATATGTCTTAGAGTTGAAACACAGAATACCCAAGATAATTCAGTCTTTGAATCAAGTCTGCATAAGACTAGTGAAGAACTCGAATGCAAGGAAGAGTGTTTGGAATAATGAAGATGATTTATATTTTATTGTTGTATAATTTTTGGATTCTGAATAATGTATTTATAGGTCATGTATACATGTTGTTTCAGAAGTTTGCAACTCTGGATGAAACAACACTTTTCAGCATAAGATTGCAATGATTTGCCTATAGATATATTATGCACCACTTCATGAAATGTTGTATATTTTGAATTCGAAATTTTAACTTTCAGTAGCCCGAAACAAATTTAACGGTAACTTCTACTGGTGGATGTTTAGTGTAAAAACTTACCAAAATTTTCTTCAGACAGATTAAAGGTAAATTTCGCTCATATATATTTAGTGAAAAAACTCACCAAAATTCCTTCAAACAAATTTAAAAGCAATTTCCACTTTTATTTATGAGACATTTTTATTCTCTTTTAACTTTATCATATTTAAACACATTTATAGAAATCAATTGTCTATTAATTTCCAACATTTTTTTTATATCATAGACATACACAAATAAACTTTACTATTCTTACTAACCTAACATTTGTGAAGTTATTAAATTAGTATATCTACAATAGATCATTTTCCAATCATGGAAATATCAAATAGCAGAAACTAATATGCAATACATACCTAGGTTTTTTAAGAAAGTTATAGAACTGTTTAGGTTTTATAAGTGAGAATAAGGCTTTGACGGGTAAATTAGTTATGTGTCCTTAAGACAATAGTACTTTATCCGTCGTGAGACAGGTAATTTTTTTTATGTTTCTAATAAGATACACTCTAATATCCCTAAATTGAGTACTTATCCATCACTCATTTATGAAATGTTAAGTCATGTTTTAATAATGATTTATTTTAAAATAAATACATTTTATCTAAAATATCAATATTCGACTAAAACTCATTGATACTTAAAAATTTAAATGATAATAATAATTTTGAAATATAATAAAAATACAATAGTCTTCTTTTATTTTCCTAGAGATAGATATGAAACTAGACAAAAACTATTTGACAAAAGAATTGCACTCCAGACAAAAACGGTTGTCAGAAATGGTTGGCAAAAGTAAGTGATTACCCATTGAACAAAGTGAAGCATGTAGTGTTATTTATGTGTTTTGTTGCATTAATCTCGAGAGTTAAAATATGGTATCTATGGAGAAAAAAGCAAGTTTTTCTATATGAAGAAAAGAAAATAAACTTTGAGAACTTGGTAAATCTCAATGGATTAAAACTCTAAGGATTTTATGTGAGACAAGAGTTAACAGAACGACTTGGAATAACATTAAGATCTTATAGTAGAAAAAGTAAATCAGATGTTGCACATTCAAATGCACAACACTTCGGTTTAATAGTAACACATTAAGTGTTGTTCATGTCACAGCAGTCTGCATAATATATCCATATATAAACACCAAAGAAAGAAATATATTCGGCCAATTATATAATTTCCGCATCAGAGTTAAAATTAAACTATCGAGAATAAGTCTCTCGCGTTTAAATGTTCAAGAAAAAATTATATGGCGAAATAGAGTTGACTACGAAGAAGAACGACACTCTTCCATTTCTTCCTCAATGATGAAGGAAGGTGAGAGGTCGCTGTGCTGCAAAAGAATGATGTTTGTTATAAACAGGATATTAAGTATCCGATTCAAGTTTGTCTAAAGTTTGTTTCAGCCTAAACACTAAAGAAAAATAGTAGAGCCTCCAATGCAATCATCTGTCATTTCAACCTGAAAATCCAGCAAAATATCCAAATTAAATGAACTGTGAATCGATGAAGCTAAATATTAATTATACATGATATGATACAACATGCAAAAATAGTTATGAATGAAGATGGTAGAGAAACAACTTACGAGTTGATTTCCATGAAAATTGACCAGCTGGATTCCAGCTAATTCCTGGGAAAGTAGGCTGCACACAATTGATAGATTAGTTTCTCCTTTAAGGGAAAGGAAATGTAAATTTTAACAAAATTTCAAAATATATTTTACAAAGACCAACCGACCTCAGTTTGAGTTTCAGAAGGTTTTGAAGATTGTTCTCCCCTTATAACTTGATGATTATGTACATCAGCTTGCTGAAATGGCTCCTTTGATGCGACGGATTGGGATTGGGATTGGGGTTGAGATGATAAATGTAAATCAATCGAGGGTAAATGTAAATCACCTGAGGAGGGCAGAGTATCAAGTTTACCTCCATCAAGCATTGGGCTTAATGCATTAGCGAAACCGAAACAATCAGTTATAGCACCCTCAGTCAAATCATCATCCCACTCCATTATTCCTGCAGGAGACTCCAATTCACCACCTTTCTCATTCGCCTCTAACTGTTCCAACAGATCTGAAACTGAATCAGTTTCGCCAAAGATGGCAGCCAGCCATGAAGGGGCATCCATTGGTGGATGAACTATATCAGAGTTAATTACATCAGAGGCTCTCCAGTTCTGACTAGAAGATTGCCCTGAATTCACTTCATTGTCAGATTGTTTCTGATCACTTTGCCCACTATTACCCGGACCCTCAGAGTACCCATTCGAACCCAAATTTACATATTGGCCGGAATTCACTTCATTGTCAGATTGTTTCTGATCACTTTGCCCACTATTACCCGGACCCTCAGAAAACCCATTGGAACCCAAATTTACATTCTCTTCTAATTTTTCTTGAATCTCATTACCGCCCACCACCACTTTATCCAAAGGCGGTTTTTCGTTCAAATTCTCATCAAAGGCGGTTGAAGGTAGTGCAGGTTGCACATCAGCGCAAGAAACTTCACATTTGGGAGACTCTTCCCTTCTTTCAAAATGACCACTTTGGCCATCACTGATATTTCCATCCCCTTGTGTAGTCAAACCAGGAGACGGAGTGTACCCACTATTACTGTTACTCTTAACAGACTCATCTTTACCATTAGATTGTGTACAAATATTAGTGATATTCCCATCCCCTTGTATAGTCAAACCAGGAGACAGAGTTTGCCCACCATTGCTCTTAGCAGAGTCATCTCCATCCCCTTGTATAGTAAAACCAGGAGACGGCGTGTGCCCACCGTTGCTCTTAACAGATTCTTTATCATTAGATTGGGTACAAATATCAGCAACCTTTTCATCCGCAATCGGCATGACAATTTGGTTGTTAGCACAAACTTCACTCCTTGTTGCAATGTTAAGCCCATCCTGACTTTTTTCTTTATTTACCACAGTAACACTGGCCCCCAAAGATTGTTGACCATCCTGACTGTTTTCTTTATTTACCATCGTAACACTGGCCCCCAAAGATTGTTGACCATCCTGACTGTTTTCTTTATTTACCATCGTAACACTGGCCCCCAAAGATTGTTGACCATCCTGACTGTTTTCTTTATTTACCACCGTAACACTGGCCCCCAAAGATTGTTGTTCATCGTTGAGTGGAAATGTTACATTTTGGGAACACTTACTCAGTGCATCCGTCAACAATATAGATTCCTCTTGTTTCTCACTCCATATTCTGAGATTTGGAGGTAAATATCCAGTTCCTTTCCACTTGCGCATCAACGACATACTAAAAGGACCGTGAACCTTCCCAGTTGGATCCTGATAATGCCAGACGGCCTGTTCCATCCCTGTAGACTGAAGAAAGGATAAAATGTACTTTGAAACACCAAACTCTCCTATAGTGGACAGGTCTTGTACATTGCGCCCAGCACTGTACGATGCACTGTCACCAATATTTCCCTTAGCTTTCTTGTTAATTGGACTATTTGAATTTATTATACAGGAACTCTCGGAACCATAACCGTTGTCAACTTTGCGAATTCCTAAAACTTTCTGGGGAGCCTGAACCTTGCAACTTACTTGAACAGCACCATTCCATGGACTTTTAGCTCGAAGGACCTCATCAAAATTCAGAGATAGTTTTCCTTTCAAGTACATCCAATACACCTTGAAAAGATACTCCCAGCTGCTTTTGTCATCAAAATCAACTTCGCACTAAAAAAAATAGCACAGGGACATAAAAAGATAAAAGTTAGACCATTAAGCATTCATCTATCATTAACTCAATATCTAGTGGCACACTATCCCCCACATCCCTTCTCTAACACTCAAGATAAAGGGAGAGGGAGGGAAAATTAGTACATTCATAAGAAAGTTCATCAAACCATTACCTTAATTCCCCGGGCACTGTTTTCAATCAGTACTATAGTCCTCATGCATGTTCCACACAAACCTTTGTTTCCTCTAACACTAACAAAATCAACTTCTTTTTTTGTACAACCCTTGCACAAGGAATATGTACAAGTATAGCACATGTAGTGGCATGATTTTCCACAATCATTACATTGGTGCCAACCTAAGCAGTTCAAAAATGAACATTTAGTTAATGCCGTTAGACATTCGATAAAAATAAAAAAAGTACAAGAAAAGAAGTGATCAACTAGTCAAAATAAGGAAGGCGCACTAATTAGTAAATGTAATAATCGCGAAATTCCAGTGTAAGAAAATAAATTAATAGCATTAAGAAATATCAAATTGAATCTGCATAATCTAAGAATCTATCCCTGTGTTTGCTGCAAAAACACTAATAAGCCATGCACAAGAATCTACTGAATAGAACACAATCTACAACTATGCAAGGAATCTAATGTGCATTCATCTTTTTCCTTCTGAACTAATGCATCCTAGACATAGTCATTTAATCAGGTGATCAACTGTAATTTTTCAGTCAGGTTTTGTGAACGAATACGTGTAATCAATCAATCAACCCTACTTTTCATTATGTGTTTTAGTACCAGATCAACATACTTGGCAGGTACTCAACAGACATGAAGAACAGAAACATTGAAAATCAAATTTTGAAAGCAAGGAAAAGATAGATAGGGCTGCACCACCCAATAACAATCGCCATTCATTGATTCTTAAGGATTTCCATAAACAATAACACAATGAATACCAAAAGAGTCAAGCCCCCAAAGCTCAAATACATTAGCAAAAGGAAAATTTCTAACAATTTCTCAGTTCAGTTCAGCCACCAAGACAGACACAAAAGTTATAGTTTTAAAAAGAGAGAATTCAAAAGTCATTTATAAATCAGATTTCATAATCAGTAAAAACAATGATCAGATTTCAAACTCAATATGATGAGATTCATACTCAGTAAAAACAATAATCAGATTCATACTCAGTAAAAACAATGATCAGATTCATACTTAGTAAAAACAATGATCAGCTTTCAAATTCATAAAAAAAATGATCAAATTTCCTTCAAGTGATAAATCAATCTAATACATTGAACATTCAAAATAAAATTTCTCTTATAGACAAACAAACCTAACATTATCCAACTTATAAATATATGTCAACACATTACATTAACAAGTATGTAAATGTAAATGGCTACATTAAACTGCATTTTAATACCATTAAAGATCGAAAATAAGAAAAACAAACATACCACAACTCCATCTATCCGTAGCACGGAAAAACTCCTCACCCCGCTTCACACATGCCGGATGATATGCCTTAGGACATCCCCTTAAACAATCAAAACAAGTAAAAAATCATATATAAAAAATAACATATTAAAACCAAGAATATATCTGAATTTATTTTATAAAATCCACCCTAGATTGTGATGTGAACTAACCTATGATCACAAAGAACGAGTGAACCACCATCAAAGCAAATAAAACAAACATCCTCTTCATCTTTCACCTTCTTCGTAGGAGGATGGGGTTGCGGAAGAGTTCCTCTCGGCGGCCGACCACGCTTCCTTTTCACAACTGTCTCTGTCGTCGCCACGTCAGTGTTGACGGAGTTGACTCCGATCATTTGAGAATTCTCAAAAACCCTAACATCTCCGGTCATTACCGGTTGCGAAATCGGTTGCAGCTGCTGCTCCATGAGGTTCAATTCGTATAGAAAACTCAAGAATCACTCCAGAATCGACCGAACAAAAACAAAATTCAACAAAACAACTTCCGAATCGAAAAAAAAAGCAAAACCCTAGTAATTGGGAATCGACGGATTTGATCTGATAATGGTGACTAGTGGACACACAACACGGAAAGAAAAATTGAAATTTGTGAAATTTGTAAATGGACTAAGTGCAGATGATGTAACAACATGTTGTTACTCTTTTTATTTTTGTTTCTTTCCTTATTTAATTTCCACTTTATTTTATCACATATAGTCAAAATATAAATATTTTATCTTTTACCTTTTTGCAACAAAAATATAATATTCAAATAACTTGTTGGGTACATTTGGTAATAGTAACTGTTTGTAATGATGATGATTTTGCAAAAAACAACATCAACAGTTGAATGAGTGGAGAAAGGCGAGGATTGAGCGTGTCCGAATCTGGGTCTCTCGAAATGCACGTGGTTAGTTGTCATCACAGGAAAGATCACAATTCACACCCCCCAAAATATGTGGGACCCACTAGTCTATTTTCATCCACGACATAAACATGATCCAAATAATACCCTTCTTTCTCTATTTAGTCATACTATATATTTTTGGTCTTTTTTTTCCCACTACGGGTAGTTAGGTAAACTATCTTTTATATATATTCTTTTTATTTTATCATAAATAATATTATAATACAACTACTTCTATTAATATTTACTTGGATTCCCTGTACTTTGCCGACCATTCATGAGTTATTATGCTAGTACTTCTACTTTATATTACTATCTATTATTTTATTAACAAAATAAATATTTTGATAGCACTAATAATCATAATTTGTTAAAATTGTTATTCTCTCTTATTCATTTATCATATATATATATATATATATATATATATATATATATATATATATATATATATATATATATATATATATATATATTGTTTATGGAAAAAGACTTTCACATTTTTATCCATAAGTTGATAAATTAATATTTATAAATTTTATCAATACTTATATTTATTATTAATTATTTTGTAGAAATTAATTCGAATACATTTTCGTGTAAAAATCATTCAATTAAAATCAATCTTTTGACACACAAATATTTGAATTAAAAATAAAAATAATATATTATAATTAATTATTTTAATAATTGATATCTTGTTTTTCTCTCTCTCATTTTTTATGCTTGTGTGAAAAAAAATTATTTTAATTGGACGTGTAAAATAATTTTATAGTGACAATATATTTTAATTAATTTTTTTATATTGTTTTTCACAAATGAAAAGTTAAAAGAATATGATTCAAAAGTATAACATATTTATCAGTGAAAAAAAATTTATTTAAAGTGTTAAATAATATTTTATTTGACCACTTTTTAATATTCTAGAATATTGTTAATTACTAATGTTATTAACGTATCCATTGTTTTGTAAAAACATTATGCTTTTTTATCTAGAATAGTAAATATTAAATAATAATCATTTTTCTTTTACAAAGATAAATAATATTTTATTTGACCACATTTTAATATATTATGATATTATTTTACATTTTAAAAAAGTAACATAATTTTTTCTTTGAAATGATAAATAATATTTTATGAGATTAATTGTTAAGCATCGTAAATATAGATAATTTTAGATTATCAATGCATCTCAACCATGTGTTTGTATTATTTTTTAAGTGGTTAAAATAAAAGTTAAATATTTTTAATAAATTAGTGGTTCTGATTAATTGACAGTTTAACAATTAAATTCATACTTTATTTGATCATCGTTTAACATTTATAATATTATTTTACATTTTAAAATATATAATATAAATTTTTATTCTTTTAAGATGATAAATAATAGGCTTAATTCATCTTTTAGTCCCTTAAGTTATTTTGTTGTTTTTAATTAGTCCTACAATTAAAAAGCATTATGATGTAGTCCTTTAAGGACACTCCGTTAGCACAATAAATCTCTTATGTTAGTATCTTTAGAAAAACGTTAAAACGCGTCTATGTGGCATTTTTTTGATAATTAGGTGGCATTGTTTTTATTTTTTTCACCCTATTTTCTTTTTGATGTGTCAATAGAAGACATTTGGTGTTGCTAAAATCCTTTTTGTTTTCTTTTTTAGTAATTAATATCCTAAACTATTTAGCTATTCTCAGAACTTCATTGTTGCTTCTTCGTTCCTTAAAAAACCCTAGCAGCTCGAAGAACAAGACGGTCGTGGTTGAAGGCGACGGTAGTTTGCAAAAACGATAGCAGAAGAAGATACTTAGAAAGTCAAGAATTTTAAAAAGGTACGTGTATGAACTCATCATTTTAAAAAGCATTTATATTTACAATTTCTTTTACTGTGATGTGTGGTTTTTGAGGTATCTTGTATGGCTAGGTGATGAGTGGTGATAGATTTGAGTGTGTTATCCATCATGGGGGTGAGTTTGGTGATTTTAACAGATATGGTTACAATGGTTTAGAGGAGATTTGACACGCTGACCCAAAATTTTGGAGTTATTTTGAGATTCTATGTGGGTTGGAAGATTTAGGGTATCCAAAAGTTGAGAGCTTATGGTATTATGATGCAATGGATGATAACGAGCTAGTGATATTGCAAGATAACGCAGAAACAAATAGAATGAAGATCATTGCTCTGATCAATGGGAATGTTCATCTCTATGTGATGCATCTAGTGTATGGGGAAGAGCAAATATTGCCTCTTGAGAATAATGTAGGTCCAAATTAAAGGAATTGATGTGGGAAGCTGCCAATGATAGTTATTCAAATGCTGGGGAAAGAATTATGCGTGAAATGAAAGAGGTGAAAGAAGAAGCATTCAAGCACCTTTGGAAGATCCCGCCTAGGTTCTGGAGCAAATCTAGGTTTAAAAATGGTCCAAAGTGTGACACTTTGGGGAACAGCATGTCAGAAGTATTTAACTCTATTTTTGTAGCTGCAAGGGCCAAGTCCATCATGACTATGCTTGAGGAGATTATAGTGTATCTGATGCAAAGGTGGGAGTCTAACAGACAAAAGATTTCCAAATATGCTGATACCATTCTGCCAAATATCATAAAGAAGTTGGAAAAAGAATCACAAAGGACTAACAATTGGATTGTGAGGTAATGTCTCATACATGATTTTCTAGGTGATACAAAGAATTAGTATGCATGCATAACTGATTTATGTACTTGTGACAGGCGCGCAGGTGAGGTAGACTATGAGGTTAGACATATATCACTCATTAAAGAAAAGTTTGTTGTTAATCTGGCAAAGCATGAGTGTTCATGTAGAAGGTGGATGTTGACTGGGCTACCATGATGTCATGCCCTTGCATGTATGAAGGATCAACATTTATAGGTAGGTGATTTTGTTCCTGATTATTACAAAAGGGAGTGTTATGAAGCTTTCTATGCACCAATGATTTATCCAGTCAATGGAGAATCTCTTTGGACCAAAACAGATGTTGTTGACCTGCAACCACCCCCCATAAAGAGACAGCCTGGTAGACCCAAGAAAAAAAGGAACAAAGATGCTGGGGAACAAGTTAGAAATGAGACACAACTCAAAAGGGTCAAATTTGGTATTAAGTGCAGCAAGTGCCATAAAGATGGTCACAATAAGTCCACTTGCAAGCTGCCTACAACAACAACAACAACAAATAATGATGCTACGTCAACACCACCATTAACTGTTGCTACTACAACAACACCGACACCAAATGTTGCTGCTACATCAACACCATCACCAAATGTTGCTGCTACAACAACAACAACACCAACTGCTACTGCTACAACAACACCACCACCAACTATTGTTGCTACATCAACAAGATCACCAACTGCTACTGCTACATCAGCCTAACCACCAACACTAGTTGCTACTGCATCAAGCCTACCACCAACACTAGTTGCTGCTACATCAAGACAACCAACACTAGTTGCTGCTACATCAAGCCAGCCAACACCAGATGGAGGTTCAACTCAGCAAGTATCCAAAAAAAAGAAAGAGACTTTAAAAGGGTCTAAAACATGTTCTGAGCCAACCATAAGATTATGTTTATCTTTGATGTGTACTAGTTATTCCACTTTTTTCTATTATGTAGTTTAAGACTACGGCTTATAATGTCACTTTTGTTGGATTTCAACTGCTGTAACATATGGTATAAAATGTCTATACTCTAGTTATGTCTAATGGCTTGCAATGCCACTTTTGTAATGACTTGTAATATTAATATTGCAACTAATGTTATAGTTTTATGACTATTGTTATGACCATTTTATAGTTTCCATTTGTTCTTATAGTTGTGGGAAACAAACAAAAGTAACATTTCACAAATATAATTCATTGATAAATTTTGACAAAAACAAAAGTAACATTTCACAAACAAAAGCAACTACATTCCATTGATATATTTTGACAAATACATAACAACGTTGACAAAACATTTCACCGATACAATTCAACCTCCTTGTTCACAACTACATGTCATTACACAGAAAAACAATCAACCTAAAAAACAATTGTTACAAATATAACATTAAACAATAAGCTCAATATTCCAATGATTATAGACAATTTCAACCATCCCTTGTGTTGATGATCTCATTCTTCAACCTGTAAATTTTCTTCTTTTGCCTTTGGATCTTCAAATCCCTTTCATCAATAATGTCGTCGTCAAACCATTTGAAGAAATTACATCCTTATTCACATGATTTCTGAAATTTCTGCAATCCCAAAACTTTTTCCCAAAATTGACACTACTCATGTCACCCACGATACAAAGCACACATTCATCTTGGCAAAAGCACTCTCTCCTTTTGTTTCTTCGAACAACAGACCCAGATGTACCAATTGAAGAACTGCTTGACATTTTAGACATTTGAGACGAAGAAGAAAGATAAACCCTAGGAATGGAAACAAAATGAAAAAAACGAGATGAAGAGAACAAGATGCAGAGAACAAGATGAAGAGAAAATATGAAGGAAGCT